GGTGGATTTTGGGACCTCCCAGGATAAATTTTGGGGTCCCTGGGTTGAATTTTGGGGTCCCCAGGTTGGATTTTGGGGTCCCCGTGTGGATTTTGGGGGAATTTCAGGGTCCCCCCATATGGATTTTGGGGGATTTTGGGCTCCCCACGCGGATTTTGGGTCCCCCAGGTTGGATTTTGGGGTCCCCGTGTGGATTTTGGGGGAATTTCAGGGTCCCCCCATATGGATTTTGGGGGATTTTGGGCTCCCCACGCGGATTTTGGGTCCCCCAGGTTGGATTTTGGGGTCCCCGTGTGGATTTTGGGGGAATTTCAGGGTCCCCCCATATGGATTTTGGGGGATTTTGGGCTCCCCACGCGGATTTTGGGTCCCCCAGGTGGATTTTGGGACCTCCCAGGATAAATTTTGGGGTCCCTGGGTTGAATTTTGGGGTCCCCAGGTTGGATTTTGGGGTCCCCGTGTGGATTTTGGGGAATTTCAGGGTCCCCCCAGTTGGATTTTGGGGGAATTTCGGGTCCCCCTGGTGGATTTTGGGTTCCCCACCTGGATTTTGGGGTCCCCATAGTGGATTTGGGGGGATTTCCGTGCTCTCAGGTTGGATTTTGGGGAATTTTGGGTCCCCCATGTGGATTTTGGGGTCCCCTGGGTGGCTTTTGGTGTCCCCAGGATGAATTCTGGGGTCCCCACGTGGATTTTGGGGGCCCCGGGTTGGATTTTGGGGGATTTCAGTGTCCCCGGGTTGGATTTTGGGGGATTTTGGTGTCCCCAAGTTGAATTTTGGGGCCCCCCCGGGTGGATTTTGGGGGATTGGGGTCCCCCAGGTTGGATTTTGGGTTCCCCATGTGGATTTTGGGGGATTTCAGTGTCCCCGGGTTGGATTTTGGGGGATTTTGGTGTCCCCAAGTTGAATTTTGGGGCCCCCCCGGGTGGATTTTGGGGGATTGGGGTCCCCCAGGTTGGATTTTGGGTTCCCCATGTGGATTTTGGGGGATTTCAGTGTCCCCGGGTTGGATTTTGGGGGATTTTGGTGTCCCCAAGTTGAATTTTGGGGCCCCCCCGGGTGGATTTTGGGGGATTGGGGTCCCCCAGGTTGGATTTTGGGTTCCCCCTGTAGATTTTGGGGGATTTTGGTTTCCCCACGTGGATTTTGGGGGATTTCGGCGTCCCTGGGCTGGATTTCGAGGTCTCCAGGATGAATTTCGGGGTCCCGGAGTGAATTTTGGGGCATTTCGGCGTCCCCAAGTTGAATTTTGGGGTCCCCAAGTTGAATTTTGGGGCATTTCGGCGTCCCCCAGTTGAATTTCAGTGTCCCCAAGTTGAATTTTGGGGGATTTCGGCGTCCTCAAGTTGGATTTTCGGGGATTTTGGGGTCCCCCAGTTGAATTTCGGTGTCCCCGGGTTGAACGGGTTGGATTTTGGGGGATTGGGGTCCCCCAGGTTGGATTTTGGGTTCCCCATGTGGATTTTGGGGGATTTCAGTGTCCCCGGGTTGGATTTTGGGGGATTTTGGTGTCCCCAAGTTGAATTTTGGGGCCCCCCCGGGTGGATTTTGGGGGATTGGGGTCCCCCAGGTTGGATTTTGGGTTCCCCCTGTAGATTTTGGGGGATTTTGGTTTCCCCACGTGGATTTTGGGGGATTTCGGCGTCCCTGGGCTGGATTTCGAGGTCTCCAGGATGAATTTCGGGGTCCCGGAGTGAATTTTGGGGCATTTCGGCGTCCCCAAGTTGAATTTTGGGGTCCCCAAGTTGAATTTTGGGGCATTTCGGCGTCCCCCAGTTGAATTTTGGGGTCCCCAGGTTGGATTTTGGGGGATTTCGGTGTCCCTCAGTTGAATTTCGGTGTCCCTCAGTTGAATTTCGGTGTCCACAAGTTGAATTTCGGGGTCCCCGAGTGGATTTTGGGGTCCCTGGGTTGAATTTCGGGGTCCCCGAGTGGATTTTGGGGTCCTCGGGTTGAATTTCGGGGTCCCCAGGTTGGAATTTGGGGCATTTTGGTGTCCCCAGGTTGAATTTCAGTGTCCCCAAGTTGAATTTTGGGGGATTTCGGCGTCCTCAAGTTGGATTTTCGGGGATTTTGGGGTCCCCCAGTTGAATTTCGGTGTCCCCGGGTTGAATTTCGGGGTGCCCGGGTTGGATTTGGGGGTCCCCGGGCGGGTTTGGGGGCGATTTTGGCTATTTCTGCTCCTTGGTGGGGGCGTAGTAGAGCTCCAGGGGTTTGCTCAGCTTCCAGAACTTCTCGTTCACCAGCTCCAGCGTCAGCGACCCGTTCAGGGGCTGGGGGCAAAAATCGGGGTCAGAACCCCCAAAACCACCCCAAAACCACCCCAAAAACCCCCCAGGACCCGTTCAGGGGCTGGGGGCAAAAATCGGGGTCAGAACCCCCAAAACCACCCCAAAACCACCCCAAAAACCCCCAGGACCCGTTCAGGGGCTGGGGGCAAAAATCGGGGTCAGAACCCCCAAAAAACTCAAAAACCACCCCAAAAAAACCCACCCAGGAGCCGTTCAGGGGCTGGGGGCAAAATCGGGGTCAGAACCCCCAAAAATAACCCAAAAATCCCCCAAAACCAGCCCAAAAATCCCCCAGGACCCGTTCAGGGGCTGGGGGCAAAAATTTGGGTTACAGGCACCAAAAACCCAAAAAATAACCCAAAAACAACCCACAGGTACACAAAAATAACCCCAAAATAACCCCAAAAATAACCCAAAAAAACCCTGAAAAATAACCCGAAAAGACTCAAAAATAACCCCAAAAATACCCCAGAAAGAATTAAAAAACCTCCAAAAATAACCCCAAAAAAGCCCCAAAAATATTCCCTAAAGTAACCCAAAAATAATAAAAAATCCACCAAAAATAACCCCAAGAATAACCCGAAAGAAAAATTCCCCAAAATCCCCCCAATTTCTGCGTCACTTCCGGCTCCACTTCCTGTTTCTACCGGAAGTTCCGGTGACGCCATGACAGGCAGTGATGGCGGCCATATTGCACAGGCCTCATTTCCGGCTCCACTTCCTGTTTCTACCGGAAGTTCCGGTGACGCCATGACAGGCAGTGATGGCAGCCATATTGCACAGGCCTCATTTCCGGCCCCACTTCCTGGTTCTACCGGAAGTTCTGACGATGGCATCACAGGAAGTGATGGCGGCCATATTGCCCAGGCCCCTCCCACCAACCTCCGCCATCACTTCCTGGTTCTACCGGAAGTTCCGGCGACGCCATGACAGGCAGTGATGGCAGCCATGTTCCCAGGCCCCACTTCCGGTTCCACTTCCTGTTTCTACCGGAAGTTCCAGTGACTCCATGACAGGCAGTGATGGCAGCCATGTTGCCCAGGCCCCTCCCACCCGTTTCCGTTCCACTTCCTCTTTCTGCCAGAACTTCCGGCAACGCCATCAGAGGCAGTGACGGCGGCCATATTGCCTAGGCCTCATTTCCAGTTCTATCTCCTCTTTCTACCGGAAGTTCCGGCGACGCCATCACCAGCAGTGTCGGCGGCCATGTTGGCCAGGCCGCGTCCCCCCCGTGCCGGCGGCCATGTTTGCCAGGCCCCATTCCCACCCACATCGGCGGCCATGTTGCCCAGGCCGCGTCCCCCCCGTGCTGGCGGCCATGTTGGCCAGGCCCCAATTCCCCCCCGGGCCGGCGGCCATGTTGCCCAGGCCCCGTTCCCATCCACAATGGCGGCCATGTTGGCCAGGCCGCGTTCCCCCCGTGCTGGCGGCCATGTTGGCCAGGCCCCGTTCCCCCCCGTGCCGGCGGCCATGTTGCCCAGGCCCCTCCCCCCCCGCTGCCGTTGCCGCGGGTTACCGTGAAGGCGCCGGCGGCGGTGGTGGTGTAGATGGTGTACTGCTTCTCGCTGACGTCACCCAGCGAGGGGGCGGGGTCGGCGCCGGGGGGCGGGGCCTCCTCCAGGGCGATGCGCAGCGCCAGGTACTTGGAGAGGTGATCCACCGTGGCGTTCGAGGTGGTTTTCACGAAGCTGGGACACGGGGTGAAAACGGGGGGAAACGGGGTGAAAACGGGAAAAAACGGGAGTTCCGGGGTGGGGAAAAACGGGGGGGAAAATGGGGAAAAAAATCCGGGAAAAAATGGGGAAAAATGGAGGAAAAATGGAGGAAAAATTGGGGAAAAACTAAAGGGAATGGGGCGGGAAACAAGGGAAATTTTATTGGAATTGTGGAAAAATGGTGGGAAAATTGGGGTGAATCCATGGGAAAATGGGAATTCTGGGGTGGGAAAATCTGGGGGGAAAATGGGGAAAAATTTGGGAGAAAATCGGGAAAAATTGGGAAAAAAACTGGGGGAATGGGGCTGGAAAAGAGTGAGCTATTAATGGAATTATGGAAAAAGTGATGGGAAAATAGGGGTAAATCCAGGGAAAATGGGAATTCTGGGGTGGGAAAATCTGGGGAAAAATCCTGGAAAAAATCTGGGAAAAAATCCCGGAAAAACGGGGGAAAAATGGAGGAGAAATGGAGGAAAAATGGAGAAAAAACTGGGGAAAAAACAGAGGGAATGGGGCTGGAAAAGAGTCACATTTTAGTGGAATTGTGGAAAAAATGGTGGGAAAATTGGGGTGAATCCAGGGGAAAATGGGAATTCCAGGGTGGGAAAAAATGGGGGGAAAATCTGGAAAAAAATCCAGGAAAAAAATGGGGAAAAATGGAGGAAAAATGGAGGAAAAAAAGGAGAAAAAATTGGGGAAAAAACAGAGGGAATGGGGCAGGAAACAAGGGAAATTTTATTGGAATTGTGGAAAAAATGGTGGGAAAATTGGGGTGAATCCAGGGGAAAATGGGATTTCTGGGGTGGGAAAATCTGGGGGAAAAACTGGGGAACAATCCATGAAAAAAAATTGGGAAAAAATGGGGGAAAAATGGAGGAAAAATGGAGGAAAAAATGGAATAAAAATTGGGGAAAAACCAGAGGGAATGGGGCTGGAAAAGAGTCAAATTTTAATGGAATTGTGGAAAAAATGATGGGAAACATTGGGGTGAATCCAGGGGAAAATGGGAATTCTGGGGTGGAAGGGGCTGCTGGGAAAATCTGGGAAAAAATTGGGAAAAAAAAAGGGTCCGACTCGGCCGCCATCTTACGCACGCGCTGCGCCCTGCGTGGAGACACGGGGAGAATGGTAAAAAACGGGGAAAAAATAACATAACGGATCCCATTGCCCGCCCCCAGAACCCCGCGGGGTCCGACTCGGCCGCCATCTTACGCACGCGCTGCGCCCTGCCAGGACAAAATGGGGAAAAATGGGAAAAATGGGAAAAAATAACAGAAAATGGAAAAAATGGGTAAAAAATGGGAAAAATGGGAAAAAGTAACAGAATTGATGCCATTTCCCGCCCCCAGAACCCCGCGGGGTCCGACTCGGCCACCATCTTACGCACGCGCTGCACCCTGCCAGGACAACACGGGGAGAAATGGGGAAAAACCGGGTAAAAATGGATAAAAATAACAGAAAATGGTAAAAATCGGTAAAAAACGGGGAAAAAATAACATAACGGATCCCATTGCCCGCCCCCAGAACCCCGCGGGGTCCGACTCGGCCGCCATCTTACGCACGCGCTGCGCCCTGCGCGGAGACACGGGGAAAATGGGGGAAAAAGGGGGAAAATGAGGAGGAAAATGGGGGGGGTAAAAAACAGGTAAAAAATGGGAAAAATGGGGAATGTTATTAAATATTACACAACTGAACCCACTGCCCGCCCCCAGAACCCCGCGGGGTCCGACTCGGCCGCCATCTTACGCACGCGCTGCGCCCTGCGCGGAGACACGGGGAAAATGGGGGAAAACGGGGGAAAATGAGGAAAATGGGTAAAAAACAGGTAAAAAATGGGAAAAATGGGGAATGTTATTAAATATTACACAACTGAACCCACTGCCCGCCCCCAGAACCCCGTGGGGTCCGACTCGGCCGCCGTCTTACGCACGCGCTGTGCCCTGCGTGGAGAACGGGGAAAAAAAAGGGAAAAATTGGTAAAAAATGGGGGAAAATGGGTAAAAAACAGGTAAAAAATGGGAAAAATGGGAAAAAGTAACAGAATTGATGCCATTGCCCGCCCCCGGAACCCCGCGGGGTCCGACTCGGCCGCCATCTTACGCACGCGCTGCGCCCTGCGCGGAGAACGGGAAAAAAAAGGGAAAAATTGGTAAAAAATGGGGGAAAATGGGTAAAAAACAGGTAAAAAATGGGAAAAATGGGAAAAAGTAACAGAATTGATGCCATTGCCCGCCCCCGGAACCCCGCGGGGTCCGACTCGGCCGCCATCTTACGCACGCGCTGCGCCCTGCTGGAAGAAACGGGGAAAATGGGGGAAAATGGTAAAAATGGGGAAAAAACATGGGGAAAAATGGGGGAAAATGGGGGGAAATGGGGAAAATTTATAGAGAGTAACGGAACTGATGCCATTTCCTGCCCCCAGAACCCCGCGGGGTCCGACTTGGCCGCCGTCTTACGGACGCGCTGGGCCCTGCGGGGAGAAAATGGGGGGAAAAAATTGATTTTATGGGGAAAATAATGGGAAACAATTGGGAAATAAGGAGGAAAATAATGGCATTTTAGAGGAAATAATGGGGTAAATAATGGGATTTTAGAAGAAAATAATGGGGACATAATGGGATTTTAGAAGAAATAATGGAGAAAATAATGGGGAAATAAGGGGATTTTAGATAAAAATAATGGGGAAAATATCAGAGAAAATAATGGGGGAAATAATGAGATAATAATGGGATTTTAGACAAAAATAATGGGGAAATAATGGGGAAAATAATGGGGAAAATATCAGAGAAAATGGGAAAAATAAAGGGAAAAATAATGGGAAAATAATGGGGAAAATAAAAGGAAAAACGGGGAAAACAATGGGATTTTAGAAAAAAATAATGGGGAAATAATAGTAAAAATAATGGGATTTTAGAGAAAATAATGGGGGAAATAATGGGATTTTAGGGAAAAATAACTGGAAAAATTCAGGAAAAACGAATGGAATTTTAGGGGAAAAAATGGGGAAAATAACAGGAAAAATCCCAGGAATGTAGGGGGAAAATCAGCCACCCATGAGGCATTTTCACCACAAAACTGCCCCAAAATCCTGTAAAAAACCGTGAATTTTGGGAATTCTGCCCAAAGATGTGCCTGGCCCGAATCCTGAACAGGAATATCAAACACTTTTGTGAATTTGGTGCCATTTCTGGGCCATTTCCCCCCATTTTTATGCTGTTTTCGTGCTGTTTTCACCCCAAACCCCACAAAACCGCCCCAAAATCCCATAAAAATTTGGGAATTTCGGGAATTCCACCCGGACCTGTGCATGGCCTGAATCCTGAACAGGAATATCAAACACTTTTGTGAATTTGGTGCCATTTTGGAGCCATTTCTGCGCCATTTGGTGCCATTTTCTCCCGTTTTTTGTGGCGTTTTCGCCCCAAACCCCACAAAACCGCCCCAAAATCCCGTAAAAACCAGGAATTTCGGGAATTCCACCCAGATCTGTGCATGGCCTGCAACCTCAACAGGAATTCCAATAATATTTGTGAATTTGGTGCCATTTTGGAGCCATTTCTGCCCCATTTGGTGCCATTTTCTCCCGTTTTTTGTGGCGTTTTCGCCCCAAACCCCACGAAAACGCCCCAAAATCCCATAAAACAGGAATTCCAATAATATTTGTGAATTTGGTGCCATTTTGGAGCCATTTCTGCCCCATTTGGTGCCATTTTCTCCCCGCTTTTTATGCCTTTTTCACCCCAAACCCCACAAAACCGCCCCAAAATCCCATAAAAAATTGGGAATTTTGGGAATTCTGCCCAGACCTGTGCCTGGCCTGAATCCTGAACAGGAATATCAAACATTTTTGTGAATTTGGTGCCATTTTTGAATCATTTCCCCCATTTTGGGTCCATTTTTACCCAATTTTTGAGCGATATTCGGCACCAATCCCCACAAAACTGCCCCAAAATCCCGTAAAAATTTGGGAATTTCGGGAATTCTGCCTGGACCTGTGCATGGCCTGCAGCTTCAACAGGAATTCCAGGAATTTTTGTGAATCTGGTGCCATTTTTGAGTAATTTCCCCCATTTTGGGTCCGTTTTCACCCTATTTTTGTGCCGTTTTCGCCCCAAACCCCACGAAACCGCCCCAAAATCCCGTAAAAAATTGGGAATTTTGGGAATTCCACCCGAACCTGTGCATGGGCTGCATCATCAACAGGAATTGCAAGAATATTTCTGAATTTGGGGCCATTTCTGCCCCATTTGGTGCCATTTTCTCCCCGTTTTTCGAGCCGTTTTCACCCCAAACCCCACGAAACCGCCCCAAAACCCCGTAAAAATTCGGGAATTTCGGGAATTCCGCCCGGACCTGTGCATGGCCTGCATCTTGAGGCCCTCCTCAATGCTGGAGCTGAGCGCCTGCTGGTTGTGCAGGCGGCTGAGCTTGGCCAGCACCCGGTCCTGGTGCGCCTCGTACTCGTCGCGGCTCGGGTAAATCTTGGAGATGAGCGCGTCGAAATTGGGGTCGGGCCGGAGAGAGCGCTTGGAAACCAGCTTCTTCCTGCACGTGGGACACTCCTTGTTCCTGGGAAAAACGGGGGGAAAGGATGAGAAAAGGCAGCGAAAAAACAGGGAAAAAATCCGGGGAAAAAAGGGGAAAAAACGGCAAAAAATGGGAAAAAATGGCAAAAAAAAAGGGGAAAAAATGGGGGAAAATCAGATGGGAAAATGGGAAGGCAGCTTCTTCCTGCACGTGGAACACTCCTTGTTCCTGGGAAAAACAGGGGGAAAGGATGGGTGCCATTTTCTCCCCGTTTTTCGAGCCGTTTTCACCCCAAACCCCACGAAACCGCCCCAAAACCCCGTAAAAATTCGGGAATTTCGGGAATTCCGCCCGGACCTGTGCATGGCCTGCATCTTGAGGCCCTCCTCAATGCTGGAGCTGAGCGCCTGCTGGTTGTGCAGGCGGCTGAGCTTGGCCAGCACCCGGTCCTGGTGCGCCTCGTACTCGTCGCGGCTCGGGTAAATCTTGGAGATGAGCGCGTCGAAATTGGGGTCGGGCCGGAGAGAGCGCTTGGAAACCAGCTTCTTCCTGCACGTGGGACACTCCTTGTTCCTGGGAAAAACGGGGGGAAAGGATGAGAAAAGGCAGCGAAAAAACGGGGAAAAAATCCGGGAAAAAAGGGCGAAAAAACGGCAAAAAATGGGGAAAAAATGGAGAAAATATGGGGGGAAAATGGGAAGGCAGCTTCTTGCTGCAGGTGGGACACTCCTTGTTCCTGGGAAAAACAGGGGGAAAAACACGGGAGAAGTCAGCAAAAAAACGGGGAAAAAATCCGGGAAAAAATGGGGAAAAAATCCGGGAAAAAACGGGGAAAAAATCCGGGAAAAAACGGGGAAAAAATCCGGGAAAAAACGGGGAAAAAATCCGGGAAAAAAGGGCGAAAAAACGGCAAAAAATGGGGAAAAAATGGAGAAAATATGGGGGGAAAATGGGAAGGCAGCTTCTTGCTGCAGGTGGGACACTCCTTGTTCCTGGGAAAAACAGGGGGAAAAACACGGGAGAAGTCAGCAAAAAAACGGGGAAAAAATCCGGGAAAAAATGGGGAAAAAATCCGGGAAAAAACGGGGAAAAAAATTGGGGAGAATCATCAAAAATGGGGAAAAATCATCAAAAATGGGGAACAATCATCAAAAATGGGGAAAAATGGGGGAAAAAACTTGGGATTTGGGAATGACACAGGTGCCACTGGTGCCACACAGGTGACAGTGACACACAGGGGACACAGGGGACAGTGACATAGGTGACACAGGGGACAGTGACACACACAGGGGACAGTGACACACACAGGGGACAGTGACACACACACAGGTGACACAGGTGACACACACACAGGTGACACAGGTGTCCCGTACCCACTCCTGAGCGCGGTGACGATGCAGTCGGAGCAGAAGCGGTGCAGGCACAGGGGCCAGTGACACACAGGTGACAGTGACACAGGTGACACAGGTGACACAGGGGTGACACACAGGTGACACTGACCCACTCCTGAGCGCGGTGACGATGCAGTCGGAGCAGAAGCGGTGCAGGCACAGGGGACAGTGACACACACAGGGGACAGTGACACACACAGGTGACAATGACACAGAGGTGACACACACACAGGTGACAGTGACACGTACCCGCTCCTCAGTGCGGTGACAATACAGTCGGAGCAGAAGCGGTGCAGGCACAGGGGACAGTGACACACACAGGGGTGACACAGGTGACAATGACACACAGGTGACAGTGACACAGGTGACACAGGTGACAGTGACACAGGGGACAGTGACACACAGGTGACAATGGCACACACACAGGGGTGACACACAGGTGACAGTGTCCCGTACCCGCTCCTCAGCGCAGTGACGATGCAGTCGGAGCAGAAGCGGTGCAGGCACAGGGGACAGTGACACACACAGGGGACAGTGACACAGGGGACAGTGACACACAGGTGACAATGGCACACACACAGGGGTGACACACAGGTGACAGTGTCCCGTACCCGCTCCTCAGCGCAGTGACGATGCAGTCGGAGCAGAAGCGGTGCAGGCACAGGGGACAGTGACACACACAGGGGACAGTGACACAGGGGACAGTGACACACAGGTGACAATGGCACACACACAGGGGTGACACACAGGTGACAGTGTCCCGTACCCGCTCCTCAGCGCAGTGACGATGCAGTCGGAGCAGAAGCGGTGCAGGCACAGGGGACAGTGACACACACAGGGGACAGTGACACAGGGGACAGTGACACACAGGTGACAATGGCACACACACAGGGGTGACACACAGGTGACAGTGTCCCGTACCCGCTCCTCAGCGCAGTGACGATGCAGTCGGAGCAGAAGCGGTGCAGGCACAGGGGACAGTGACACACACAGGGGACAGTGACACAGGGGACAGTGACACACAGGTGACAATGGCACACACACAGGGGTGACACACAGGTGACAGTGTCCCGTACCCGCTCCTCAGCGCGGTGACGATGCAGTCGGAGCAGAAGCGGTGCAGGCACTCCTTGGTGGTCATGGTGTTCTTGAGCATGTCCAGGCAGATGGGGCACATCAGCTCCGAGTGCAGCGAGCGCGGCGACACCGCGATCTCCGTGCCGTCCATGATGGCCTCCTGGGGGGACAGTGACAGTGACATCAGTGACATCATCAGTGACATCATCAGTGACACCCTGACACAGCCCTGACACAGTGACACAGTGACACAGTGACACAGTGACAGCGCAGTGACAGCGCAGTGACAGCGAGCGCGGCGACACCACGATCTCCGTGCCGGCCATGATGGCCTCCTGGGGACAGTGACACCAGTGACATCAGTGACATCATCAGTGACATCAGTGACATCATTGGTGACACCCTGACACTGCCCTGACACTGCACAGTGACACAGTGACACAGTGACAGCGCAGTGACACCGCGATCTCCGTGAGGCCATGATGGCCTCCTGGGGACAGTGGGGACATTGGGGACACCTTGGGGACACCTTGGGGACACCGTGACCTCTGTGCCACCTGTGATGGCCTCCTGGGGACACTGGGGACATCGGGGACACCTTGGGGACACTGTGACACCCCTGGGGTCAGTGACACCCCTGGGGACACCTTGGGGACACCTTGGGGACACCCCTGGGGTCAGTGACACCCCTGGGGACACCAAGGTGACACCGTGACCTCCATGCCACCCACGATGGCCTCTTGGGGACACTGGGGACACCCTGAGAGCCTTGGGGACACCTTGGGGACCCCATGACACCCCTGGGGACACCGCAACCACCGTGTCACCAGCACGGCCTCCTGGGGACACTGAGGGGACATCGGGGACCCCTTGGGGACACTGTGACACCCCTGGGGACACCGAGGTGACACCGTGACCTCCGTGCCACCTGTGATGGCCTCCTGGGGACACTGGGGACATCGGGGACCCCTTGGGGACACTGTGACACCCCTGGGGTCAGCGACACCCCTGGGGACACCTTGGGGACACCGTGACACCCCTGGGGTCAGTGACACCCCTGGGGACACCGAGGGGACACCGTGACCTCCGTGCCACCCACGACGGCCTCCTGGGGACATCTTGGGGATTGGGGACACCTTGGCAACATTGTGCTCTCCGTGCCACCAGCATGGCCTCCTGGGGACACTGGGGACATCGGGGACCCCTTGGGGACACCGAGATCTCTGTGCCATCCTGGGGACACTGGGGACACCTTGGGGACACCCCTGGGGTCAGCGACACCCCTGGGGACACCGAGGGGACACCTGGGGACACCACTGAGGACATTGGGGACACCCTGGGGACACCTTGGGGACAGCGGGGGCGTTTCTGACCCCTCAGTTTTGGGTTTTCCCCCCAATTTTGGGGTTCCTGCCTCCAATCCCGGCCTTTTCCTCCACCAATTCTCCTTCTTTTCCTCAATTTTGGGTTTTTTCCCCCCAAATTTTGTTTTTTTAACCCCATTCTGACCCCTCCGTTTTGGGATTTTCCCCAATTTTGGGGTTTTTTCCCCCAATTCTGACCCCTCAGTTTTTGGATTTTCCCCAATTTTGGTTTTTTTCCCCAATTCTGACCCCTCCGTTTTGGGATTTTCCCCAAATTTTGGTTTTTTCCCCAATTCTGACCCCTCAATTTCAGGATTTTCCCCAATTTTGGTTTTTTTCCCCAATTCTGACCCCTCAATTTCGGGATTTTCCCCAATTTTGGGTTTTTTCCCTAATTCTGACCCCTCTGTTTTGGGATTTTCCCCAATTTTGGTTTTTTCCCCAATTTTGACCCCTCAATTTTGGTTTTTTTCCCCCCAAATTTTGATTTTTTTCCCCAATTCTGACCCCTCAATTTCAGGATTTTCCCCAATTTTGGTTTTTTTCCCCAATTTTGACCCCTCAATTTTGGTTTTTTTCCCCCCAAATTTTGATTTTTTTCCCCAATTCTGACCCCTCAATTTCA